GAATGACAAGGACACATCGAAACCAGTCGCTAGACATTTTAATTTACCTAATCATTCTAAGCAACATATGGCAATCTGCGGTCTTTCCTTACACTTAGGTAGCACGGAAAGCCGTAAAACTCTTGAACAAAAGCTCATCTTTCAAACCGGCAGTCTAAATCCCACAGGGATCAACGAACGCTTTTCATTCCACTAATTTATTCGTGTTTTTCTCGTTGCCATGTTCCCACCAATAACGTAGCTCCATTTTCTGCCTTTAAAAGCACACACAACCCACAATTCCTCTATTCGCTCCGACGAAGGGCTAACGCTCGAAACGTCAGCTTTTGTAATCATTACGGTGGCCAATTTACCATTTCAACTTTGTTGATATATCCAAATTATTTCGTTACTCCCACCGACGCAGCCCTAAACAGTTTCTTTCGAAACTATCAGCCTTTAATAAATTTAACTGCGCGGCTCTGCTAACTATGTTATAAGAAGGCATAGTACAGGATCCATTAAAAAATATCGAGGCTTAGAGAGATGATTTATATTTCTTTAAATGTTTTTATTTATTTATTTAATTATTTTTTGCAAGATGGTGGTTGTGACTCTTTCAACTAATATTGTGATCTGTGTAAACTCCAAGAGATCTGATGGAAGCTTCTTAGAATAATGATTAATTGTTTATATTCAAACATGAAACCTTTTTGAGAATTCGTTTTTGAACCGGGTTGCAAATATCAAGAGTGGACTTTTCATCATTTTATGAAAGCCTGTTTGCAGATACCCAAGCAAGTATGAACTTTATCAAATTCATGATTAATTTCACTTTCAAAGAAATTAATGTTTTTTATTAATATAAATAAGCTACGAATAAGTAAAAATCAATATTTATGGTCAGTGGCTCTAACCAACGTACTCACTTATTATGCAAGCTTTTTTTTACCAACTGACTTATGAACTGACTACGCAATAGCTTTAGTTTTGAAGAGAGCGTGGGAGGCAAACATTTCCATAACAGTGTGCAATATTCAAAATAATAGATCCAAATGCTTCTAAATTCTTAAATCCTGTTCAACAAAGTGGGTGGCCCTTACAATATTTCGATTAGCAGTGTTAACAAGGACAGGGGTCTTTCGCAAGAAGGTTACATTGTTTTCCGGTTATAACCCCTTGCGGGTATGATAGAGGGTTTTGCTATCTTTTAGCTGAGTTTTCATTTTTGTAATCATCAAAATATGCATCTAGCTAATTGAAAAACTCAGGCAAAAAATGAAATGAATAAAAAAGGGGTTTTCATTCCCGCACGAATTTATTTTTGCGTCCTTTGAATATGACCTCTATTCTATGCAATTTGATTTTTCTTTTCTTCCAAGACTGTGTGAGCCAATTAAAAAGACATCAACTTGGGAACTTTTAAAAGAGTCAAAGAGGTTTTCAGTAAAGCGCACAAATTAAACAAGTGTACCTTAGTGATTCACTCCGGGGGCTAACCTTGCAAGAACAATGTGTTTAATTAGTTGCGCTTCAAACACACAGTAGGTTACATCACCAGAAAGAAAAAATACCTAATGTTTACCTTCTGAAAAAGAGGTTTATTAAATGTGTGTGGATAACATAGAGAGTCCTGGGGGCTCTAATATCCTTCAGCTGCTTCATTCAGTCATTGATTTACACTTTTGGCTGGTGCGACGATCGGAAGGAGTCGCTGGAAAAACCAGATCAGATTGCTATTGCCTTTATTATTAAAGCACAGAGAGAGAGAGCGGCCGCTTCAAGCAATGTCTTTCCATTTGAACTGTTTATTAGTGGGGCTCTGTTCAGTGATAATTAGGACTGTCTGTTCACAAGGTCAGTGATGTCCTCGCTTCATGATATCAGGGGTGACGCTGACTGTTTCGTACTCGTAAGATATGAGGATACTTAACCTCGCATTCACTATATGGGCATAAAATTAAATGTAATTTAAAATCCTCTGAATTCCGCCTTGAATTCCGCTTGAGAGTTAAAGGTCGCTGGATCATTATCTCTATGCTCTTTTCTCAGGATGCTAATTCTGTGTCCTCTAGAATTTAAGTACTTAAATTACGTGTAAAGTAGCTTTAAAGTATTTGATGTAGATGATAGACACAATTAGCTATCCTTCCTTTCAGCAGTCTTATTCTTTTATTCGTTTTTCTGTTGACTTTTGTTGTGTGTTTATTTTTATTTATTTATTTATTTATTTTTTTATCGATGAGCAAGTCTTGGTAGGGAAGATATAAATCATCTTGATCTAATAATTGTAAAAGCAAAAAATGGTATTAAGATTATCAAGAATGCAGTAACCCTTTATTTAACTAAACTGCGCCCTCGCAGCAGAGCAAGAAAGTTTCATCTTGGTAGAAAAATACAACCAAACAAGTTAACAGATATTCAAATTCATGTCAAGCCTTCCTCAATGGCCTCCTCATGCTCGACACGAACTTGAATTGAGGGCGCTGATGAGTTAAGACAAAAGGAACATCTAGTGAAACAGAAAGGCATGCTTTCTTGTCTTTCTTGTCTCTAGCTTTAAAACTCACTCCTTTAACCATGTTAATCTAAAAGTTAATTACCTCAAAGAAGGCTGAATATTCCTTTTCAGACGATTGAACATGGAAGCCACTGTTTTGGGGCACATTGGTTTTCTTGTTTATTCATAATTTTCAAATTCAGCCAGCGTTTTCGATATAAACCCGTTTTATTTTTGGATTTAAATCAGTACATTTAACAGTGCTGGATTAACTTAATAAAAAAATTTGCTTTTGACCCGACAGGATCAGCTGATATGAAAAATAATAATAATACATATTTAGCACCATCGGTGAATTCCAGAGACGGTCTACTTTCATTGGACAAGTTTCACTATCTTGATGTGCCTCCAATTGATATCATCATTGTATACGATGACTTTGAATGCATTTTTGAATGCCTCAACCATCCTCTCTGCATGTCAGTGAACCTGGCCACCGAAGAACAATTGCGGTGTCAGTTGCTGTCTTCCCATAAAGAGAACAACACAAAGAAGCTTTACCAAAACAAAAGTTCAGATCATTATTACTTTGCAGTAAGAAACTACTTCCAAAATCAGTCTCGTTCACTCTTTTTTTGCATTGCTTTATTTTCTTGTTTTCATTAAAGTATTGTTTTATTCAATTTTTTTTTCATAACTTTTTATGTTTTATTTTTTACCGTCAGAAGTTGCCTTGTTCCTCTAAACGATGTCAAAACAGAGGAACTTGTCTTCATACGAAGCGAAATTACAAATTGTTTGAATGTCTCTGTGAACACGGTTTCTCTGGAGAACATTGTGAAAAGGGTAGGTTAGAGTTCTTAACTCCTCATGAAGTTGTCAAACATTTTAATCTCTTAAATTTTTTGTGTATTTGCTTTTATTATCAAGATTATTGTAGAAAGGTGCAGCTATTCAATAGATGACACAGGCATACTCAAAGAAGAAGACCTCCAGAAGCTCTCAATGGGAGTCGAAACTACGAACTTTTGATTAGTGTACCACTGAGAAAAAGGACACTCGTGGCAGGCTCGACCTCCAAATAAGATCCTCGGTGACAAACGTTTTCCATACTGCGAGGATAGGAATGTCAAATGTGATGCTTTCGTGCATGCATGTTTATTGCTTTTTGTTTTCTTTTTTTATGATTTCATATTTTTCTTATCGTCAAAACTTCGATTATACATCCTGATTATTTGTGTATACATCATGGGGAAGATTGATTCCGCACATTTAGTGAATATTTTTTTTCTTTCTTTTTTACGTTCAGATATTGATGAATGCAGCAAGGGTGGCCATACTTGTGACGTAAATGCAAACTGTCAAAACACAAATGGTTCTTATAATTGTTCCTGTAAAAAGGGATACACAGGAGACGGACGCTCGTGTTCAGGTACGTTCAAGTTACTTTTAAAATATCATGGAGACCATACCTTGTGCTTAATTGTCTCTTGTTATTACCTGTTTGAGTAGATTTAGCCTTATCATAACCTAATTATTAAATTCAGTGAAAGCGTTTCTGAGCAAATAAAAGTGGGACCAAACAAAAGTGGAAGCAGGTCTACAAGGGCAGTTCTTATATGTGTATGGTTCAAAGTTTCAAAGGAATTCTGCTTTCAATTTTCAGACACAATAACCAATGCGATTAGATTTAATTTGCAAAGTATGGCACCTCTTTGATAACTTCAAAGATAATCAAAAGCGATACGGCATATTTTCAGATATTGACGAATGTGTTACAGAAAAGGACGAGTGTGGTACTGATGCTGTATGTAACAACACCGAGGGATCGTACAACTGTACATGTAGAACTGGATACTCAGGAGATGGACGGACTTGCAAAGGAAGTTTTTAGAAAATTAGCTCATAACTGATAATCTCAAAACTGTCGTCTCAGTTTGACTGTTGCTCTGATATTTGTTTGTTGTTGTTTTGATTGTCTATTTTGTTCTTGTTCTCAGAGAATTCGATCTGCAAAGAAGCTCATAATAAAAAGCTGTAAGTTCGAAATAAATTTTGTCTACTTGATCTCACAACAAAAGTTGTACTATTTAAAATAACAAGTTATGTGAATCTAATTTACACTTGTTAATTCTGCTTTTGTGTGTCTGTTTGTACTTAGTCTAGACGAGTGAAACTCATTTTAAAGGTAATACTCCAAACAACCGATTCCACATTTTTTTTATTTTAATTATTTTTAACTATTGTTTTTTATTATTATTTTCTTTAAAATAGAATAAACGAAAGTGGCGTGGTTACTCTTCAAATTGGCTCGATCACAACTTCCGTTTTCTGTCACGTGGGGGACTTTGGATGTGGAGATGGAGCTTGGACCCTTGTTATGAAGATTGATGGCAGCAAGGTATCTATTTAAATGAATATTCGACCGATTTCTCTAAATACTAATGGACAGAATTCATTTCTAACACTTAGATCTGAGATATATATTATGGTGTGTACATCTTGATTACCTTAGGATAAATTTTGAAGTTCATAATTTGACTTCCCTTCTAACCTCACCCAATCTCAGCCATAATTGTTGATGTTTTTGATTGAGATAGCATCTGCTCACATTTTCTTTCGTGCTGGCTGCTCTTTGGTATTGAAAGATTTACTTGTTTTTTTTTGTCTTATTAACTCGACGATATACTGTATATACATTTTTTCTATTCCCGATCAGTTGACTTTTCATTACGATTCCAATTATTGGAGCAACAAGGAAGAATATAATCTCCCTGGAGGAGTGACTGGGTTTGACTCCTTAGAAACCAAGCTACCGACCTACTGGAACACATCATTCACCAAGATCTGTCTCGGTATGAAGATTAACCAAGACTTCAGGTTCATTGTCATCGACAAGATAGCTGATTCCCTCTACACACTGATCGCTGACGGGCAATACCGCAACACCTCATTGGGTCCTGACACGTGGAAGTCGTTGATTGGTTCACAGGGTTACTTGCAACCTCACTGTAACAAAGAAGGGTTTAATCTTGTACCGGAGAAACCATACTGGAAGAATAAAGCTTGTAAAGCAAGAATCGGTATTTTCGCCAACAACCAAAAAAATTGCGACGATGTTGACTCTAGAATCGGGTTTGGAACAGGAGGAGGTAGAGATAAAAACAACACATGTGGAAACGATGGAGACAGGATCCATATCAAAGCCATGGGATATATCTTGGTTCAGTGAAGAGAACACCAACACATTCTTCAATGACAACAATAGCAATTAAGAACACAATGATACTTAACTGTCTGCACAGAATATAACGCACAACATTTGAGTGAAGCAATTGTAGAGGTAGTCGCTGACTTCGAGTCCAACTGACTTGAGTATCCAAATGTTACCGATCTCACTGTACTCGAGACGTAAACTGAAATACGATTATTAATACTGGCAACACTACTTTTAGTAACTGGAAAGATCAATATAACTAAAAAAAAATATAATTTGGTTTACTATTTATATCCAATTTACTTTGAACTAAAGTTCCATCGTAAAATTACTGAGCAGTTTCGTACATGCAAGAGATTCGTTTGCTTTTCGCTTCCGAAATTATGAGAGCAAAAACCTATATACCTACATTGTCACTTCCTCACCAAATTAAGAAGTTTATGTCTTAATTCTATTTCAACGCCTAAAGTCTGCTAGTTTTGACCCAGACAATTGGGGTCTGTCCTCTGGTCATAGGTGATAATTATTGATAAAATAAATTAAAATAAAAATTAAGAATTAGTCTATCTAAGAAATGGCTTCATTCTTATACAAAAACATCGCCAAAAGAGGGTTATTCTGACTACACCCAGGCAAGTTATTCAATGTGCAAAGCTTATTTAGGATGAGTCAGCCAGTCTTGTAGTATACGCATCCTAATATGTTTGTAATATGTGCACACTGAAAGTAAGGGTTCTACCAAAAGAACCCGTGCTACAACAGATACGAAAAACTACTAAAAGCAACTCTTTGAAAGTGGCCAGAAAATAGAAATTGTATTCCTCATTTAATGCAGTGGCACAATACCCCGAGCAAAGGGCAAACTGACCTGCCTACACCACTAATAACAGAGAAAAATCAATGAATGTAGTGATGTTTTAGAGGGAGTTGAAAAACGAAAATTACTACAGATGCAAAAACCAAAAAATATTTTTTTCAAATAGAAGACTGACCGGCCTAAAAAAAACAACTAAGTTTTCGAGCGAAACGCTTTAATAATCCAAAAATTTCATGATGCCACGCGAACCTCTTCAACCTGCCGGTCGGAATATTAATTTCTGCCTGATTTTTTCCTACGTCACTCAAACGTCAGAAATTACATTTCCCGTTTAAGTGAAATTCTTGCTTACTCAATTAAAAGGCTAAAGATGTTCAAAATGATTTCATTCCTGCACAATATAAGCGTAAAAGGGATTTTTCGTTTCTTTTGGGGGATCACCCTCAATTGATGCAATGCAAATTAATTTTTCTAAGACTCTGTCATTGATTAAAAAAACGTTCTCATAATAGTCAAACAGGTTTGCAGTAATTCACGCAAACAAGAAATTTTACCATGGTATTTAATTCTAGGGGCTAACCTTGCAATAAAAAACAAGATTTCTTACAATGTAACTGTGTATGAACAACAATGAAGAGGGACCTTAATACTCTAATATTCGTCAGCAACTTCTATTTAAGTTATGTGGAAACTACATGTGAAAAGAAGCTGTTAGTTTCAATAATTTTGTTTATGCGGAGATCGGTAGGAGTCGCCAGTGAAAACAATTCAAATGGTTGTCGCTTTATTAAACAGGCAGACCCAGCGCAAATGGACTACTCAAATGGACTACTAAATAGTAGCAAATGGACTACTCAAGTGACGCACATATGGATTTTAATACAGCCTGTTTCGTAGACCAACAAAAGTTGATCCACTCATCAGTTAAACTCCATACACATAAATATCACAGTTAAAATCCATATGTGCGTCACTTGAGTAGTCCATTTGCTACGTTGCCTATTTCGCTTATATATATATATNTTTTTTTTTTTTTTTTTGCCCCCTGATGAGTGGGCAACCACGAAACAGGCGTTTCGGGATGAAAGCCTAGTTTTTTTTGTTTCTTTCCTCCACACACATATACTTCGCTCTACATTAATGTATTAAGCACTACATTAATGTATTGAGCACTGTTTTACGAATATCTACGTTCTACACTTTATACATATATTGATATATATATATTTTTAAGGTCATGCCTCTCGTTTAGTTCTGTTTATCAGTGGTGCTTTGTTCAGTATTACTCGAGGGCCTCTGCTTATCTTACAAGTCGTCATTGCGAGCTCAAATGGACTTAGAGGTGGTAGGGATTCACCACGCAATTCTAAAGGCACAGAAGTGTTTATAAAGTCAACCACTGAGTCACCGCCAATCCGCTAAACTGAAAAATATCACAAGCAGTAGGAATGACTTTATCAATTATCATGTAAACAATGTCATATCGTTTTAAATTAACTTCGAACTAAATTCTCATTGTAAGAAACCATGAAGCTTAAAAATTTGCATAACAGTCACACAGTTAAACTGCATACAAGACAAAGTTTATTGTAAACTTTCTTCATCAAGCCCTTATTAAGAATTGATTCCTTAAGAGGACATCTGGGACTTGAGTTGGCTAAGGAACACGTAGCAGTAAATATTGATCCAAGCTCCAGATCAGACTGTTTGATTTACGCAGTAGAGCTATCCGTCAGTCAGTCATGCATTCCCTTTGGACCGGCATTCTTTTGATGTTCCTCTGTTCTATTTCTCTCACCTTCGTCTTCTCAGGAGGTTAGTAGCATTTATCACACCCCAAGAGTCGCGAGATTTTTAATTTGCTTATTTTCTTTTAAGTTGTCATCTGTAAAAATATTGTAATAAACCGAATAAATAGTAATAAGTGGCTTTTGGATTATTTTTTAAATTTCTTCGGTCGAATAAATGAAGCTTCTCAAAAACAAGTTTTCATGTTTCCGTATAGTTGCCAGGCAGACATTTCTCGTGTGACCTACTAAAACTGGATACAAAACAATTTATTGCCTTAATTTCTGTTTTGCGCATGGATGGTTTAGTTTGGGTTACGTAATTCTACTGATCGAAGCATGTAAAGAAAAAAAAACATATATATATTCTGTATGAGGGAAACCCTGACCCTGTACACCCCAAGTAATCATACTTAAATAGAATAAATTTTGAAAAGAAAATTTGCCGAATCCGAAGAGAATCCGCTAAGTTGACTTCGGTCGTGTATCTTTAATAGATCCTTAGTTGGGTATTATATGGCGTTATCGGCTTCCCCTACCCAGTCACCTTGAAAAGTTTAATTTCCCGGGAGACCACGTCTCCGATCACGTAAATCACATCTTCGATTGGCGTGTTGCCAGCATGGTTGTTCTGATAGTGTAGTGGTCATCACACCTGACTAGTAACAGGAGGGACGTGGGTTCAAATCCCGCTGAGGGCAGATTCTCGTTTCAAACATTTATTCTATATACATATATATATATATATAGTAGCAAATGGACTACTCAAGTGACGCACATATGGATTTTAATACAGCCTGTTTCGTAGACCAACAAAAGTTGATCCACTCATCAGTTAAACTCCATACACACTGAGGCATCGTGACGGTTAACTCTAACTCAGCAACGTAATCACATGGCATTGTTTAAAAAATTCAAATCTTGAAAACCGTGCGCGCGCCGATAATAGCGTTAAGAATACCTGAGAATATATTTTCGCCGATGTCTACAATTGGATATTATTTCACTTCGCTTGTTTAAAGAGGCTTCATGTGGATAAGACAAGATAAAAAATTTCTCAGTGAGGCATAAATTGCAACGTTTTGTGGCATTGGAATATGATCTAGCCCTAGCAATAATTTTCCATGAAATCGAATAGTCTTCCCTCTTCTCCTTTAGTTTCCACAGGTACTTGCTCAGCTCTGTGTCATTTCGCCGTCTCTCGTGGTTGAACGACATTTGGTGGTTGCGCCATCTAGTCTTAAAATCTGTCGCTGTGAGGCCAACGTACGTTTTAGTTTCTTCCTTGGTATCGACTGTGGCTTGGTAGACGACCTCGCTTTGCAAACATTCCCCTCCTAAAGGGCATTCGTTTTCGTTCCTGCAGTTGCACAATCTTTGGGGGCGGCTATCTTCGGACATTTTTGCGTTCCTGATTGTGGCTTTGTTATGCCCGTCTATGATCTGTTTCATATTTGGTGTGCATGAGTAGCTCAGTTTAATCGTGTTTCTATTGAAAATTTTCCTCAGAGACAATTTCTTAAACCGACCCACTTGTCGTTTGATCAACCCATCAAAACAGGAAATTGGAAAAATAAGCAAGAAAATTCTCGAAAATATTAACCAGAAACTTGTAAATGCAACAGGCGTTAATCAATGGAAGAACACATCCTCTGTGCTGCAGTGGTTCAAAAACTTACCAAATAAATGCGAATCTGCTTTCATCAGCTTCGATGTTGTAGAATTCTACCCCTCAATAACGAAAGATCTACTCGGACGTGCCCTCGACTTCGCGTCTAACTACACGACCATCTCCTCAGATGATCGCCAAATCGTCCTGCTTGCTAAAGAATCACTACTATTTATTGATTTTCGTAGAACAGTGCTCAATACACAGAAGTAGAGCGAAGTATATATTGTGGGAGGAAAAAGACAAGTAAACTACAAGTTCATCCCTACAAGCTATACATATATACAAGCCATATATATATATATATATATAAGTAGAAGGTTGTAAGGGGTCCCACAAGCAACTGGACGTGACAACCAGGGTAATAATCCTGTAATTGCATCCGGCCAATTCACACCTGTGAATTCA